GCTGTTCCCGCAGCCCTGCTGGGGCCGGGAGCGCCACCCTGCTCCACCCTCCCCAGAGTCCCGCTGGGGCCTCGCAGGCCCCCGAGGCCTGGCCCGAAGGACTCCTCCCTGCCGCTGTGGCCGGTGTCCTTTCCTGCGGCACTTCCTGCCTCGTGGCCAGTGCCCGCGGCCCCCAAGGGACGGGTCTTCGGACGCTCTGGGAGCCTTAAAGCAGGCGGCAGCCGGGCTCCTGGGAGGCATCAGCCCCTCACTGCCCGTCCGCCCCGTCCCGCCCCAGGCTGCAGGCTCGCATCGCACACCGAATTCAGGAACTAGAAAACCTTCCCGGGTCCCTGGCCGGGGATTTGCGAACCAAAGCGACCATCGAGCTCAAGGCCCTCAGGCTGCTGAACTTCCAGAGGCAGGTGGGCTCCGCAGCCCCGCTCTGGGGGAGGGCCCTGCCCCTCACCGTGCCCGATGGCCACGTGGCTACGAGCAGTGGTCGTCACCCACAGTCCCTAGCTTGCAGCCCCGTGAGAAGCCAGGCCTTCCCGAAGGTGGTGCCTTGAAGCCTGAGACCCACGTGGGTCTGTCTCATCGCGTGTGCTCTTCTCTCTGTAATCGGGTGGGGTTGGAGGCACACCCGGCTCAGCCAGCCCGGATGGTGTGCGTGTGTCCGCGCACCTGGCCTGTTCAGGAGGCCTCAGGCCGTGAACCGGGGACCTCCCTACGCTGGTCTGGCATTGCAGAGCCTCGCGTCCTGTCCCTCCCACCCTCTCGGCCCCGGGTTCTTGTCAATGACCCAGAGGAGATTCTGTGGTGGGTGCGAGTGGGAGCCCGAGTCACGCAGGACCCCTCCGTGGCCTTCTGCCCTGCCCGTGGGCGCCTCCCCTCACACGATTCGGGGCGCAGGGCCCTTCCAGCACCCCGCCTCGCTCGACGCCCCATGCCCGTCCTCCTGCTGGCACAGGCCATACGCCGTGCCAGCGCCTGCTCCCTGCCCGCAGCTGCGCCAGGAGGTGGTGGTGTGCATGCGGCGGGACACGGCCCTGGAGACGGCCCTCAACGCCAAGGCCTACAAGCGCAGCAAGCGGCAGTCCCTGCGCGAGGCGCGCATCACCGAGAAGCTGGAGAAGCAGCAGAAGATCGAGCAGGAGCGCAAGCGGCGGCAGAAGCACCAGGTGCGTCCCCGCCGGCCTCGCCCGTCCTGTTTCTGAGCCGGGCACCGGGAAAACACGGGTGCCCCGGACCTGGTGGGGGAAGGCCGGCCAGAGTTTAAACGCCTGGGCGTGTCGGGAGGCAGAGCAGGGACAGAGGTGGGGAAGGAGCCTCGTGAGACGTGCCGGGTGGCCCTGGCTCTGGGAGGGAGGTGAGTGGGGCCTGTGGGAGGAGGTCCCCCAGCTGTGTGAGCTTTCCCCGTAGAGGGGCAGGTGCAGAGGCCCTGCGGCCCGACTGTGCCCGCGTCCTCAGTGAGAAGCCAGGGCCGCGCAGTAGCCAGCGTGGCATGGTGGTGGGAGAGCCGCAGGAGGCGAGGGCAGGGAGCTGTCGGCTGGTCACCCAGGGCCCTTGGGCCACGGGTAGGGTTTGGGCTTTCGCTCTGAGCAAGGTGAGGGGGCAGCCATGGAGGGTCTCGATTAAAGGGGGCTGAGCCGACTTAGGGTTTTGTTTGCTTTCTAGTTTTTGCTGTAGGGCTTGCACATCACCAGAGGGAGAGAGGGAAAGTGAGAAAGCCACCCCAGGGCGATGGCCACGCCACAGTCCCTTCTCCAGTTTCTGCTCAGGATTTTGCGCACACACACATGCCTAATGTGATTTCCAGGCTGCCAGGCCCAGGCCTTGAACCCCAAGGCTGGCCATGTGGGATCCAGCTGCCTTCACCTCCATGCCACTTCCTTGACTTACATCTCTATAGGAAAGATCAATGAAGTAGAATAAAGTCTCCAATCCAACAGGATTTAGGGATGGCTCTGTCTCGCTTACTGACATACGGGAATTTTTTTGAGAGAGAGATTGCTGCTTTAGGGCACGTCCGCTCGCTGTAGAGACAGAACAGAGCCCGAAAGCAGATCACCCCTGTAGGGAGGGCCTACACCACCGTCCCTTATCCGTTCTCCTTTTGGAATTGTGGACACGCACGCATGCACGCCCAGCGTGACTTTCAAGTTGCTGGATCTGGCCAAGTGACAGTCCAGAACCTTACCCACTATGCCACCTGCTGACCCCTCATTTTATTCTTTTTAAAAATTATTTACTTGACTTATTTTAATTTGAGCAGCGAGGGACAGAGTGAGAGAGAGGGAGGGGAGGAGAAAGCAAGCCGCCAGGTCCAGGACTTGAACCACGTGGGAGCCCAGGGCCCCCAGCCACCATGCTACTTCTGGCCCCTCGTTTTATTGTTTTTAGTTTTAAAGAATTATTTCATTTAACTTTCTGTATTTTGTTTATTCAAATTTGACCAGAGAGGGTCGGAGTGACAGTGTGGAAATGAGAAAGCAGCCTCCGGGCCCAGGACTCGAACCTCATTCAGCCATGTGGGAGTCCAGTGCCCTTAACCACCATGCCAACTGCCAGCCCCTCCTATTTTATTCTTAAAGTTCACCTCCCATGAGTGAGAGAGAAAAACAGTACGTCCCATGCAGGGGCTTGCCACTGCAGTCCTCACTCAGTCCTCAGTCTGCCCCGTGTCTTGGCCTGCACTCACCCAGCCTCCTCAGGGAGGTCTCGGGATGTGAACCCGGAACCTCCGCAGGTGGGTCAGAATCTCGGAGGGCCAGGTTTACTCCGTACCACCACCCAGCCCCGCGCTCTCTGTCTTTAAACGAGCCGCCTTTAGGGCTTCGTACACCGGGGAGACTCCGCCAGGCAGTCAGCCTGCCCCTCGCCTCCCCGCAGGAATACCTCAACAGCATCCTTCAGCACGCCAAGGATTTCAAGGAGTACCACAGATCGGTCACCGGCAAAATCCAGAAGCTGACCAAGGCGGTGGCCACGTACCACGCCAACACAGAGCGGGAGCAGAAGAAAGAGAACGAGAGGATCGAGAAGGAGAGGATGCGGAGGCTCATGGTAACAGCCCGACTCCCTGGCGTTGGTCCTTCCGGGGCGCGCTGCATGCTGTGGGGGCCAGGGGTCGGTCGGTCGAGTGCTTGGGGTTATGCTGAGGGGTTGTGCGCCTCACACTGAGGAGGGGGGGCAGCAGTAGAGACTGGCCCGTCCCTGGGCGTCAGAGTCCTGCGCTCAGACCTTCTCCTGGTCCCCGTGACCGTCAGGGACCTGTGAGCTGAGCCAGGTAGCTGGCCGCTCTGCATTCTCCCCTGGAAGATGGAGGTGGAGCCCCTTCCCCTGGTGCTCATGAGAGCCACAGGTGGAGCGACCCCGTCCCCACCCCAGGATCAGTGTCCTGAGCGTGTGTTCGGGGAGGGGCTGACGGAGCCTGTGCCACAGCCTCCTCTGCAGGGGCTGCCATGTGAGGGGGGACACGGCGGGGAGCAGGGGTTCGTGCTTGAACCTGAGGGAGAGTTACTTGAGCAAATAAACAAGATTCTTGGGGTGGCAGATAGGACAGTGACGAGGGTGAAGCAGGCAGAGGGAGTTGGGCTGCACCGGGTGGCTTGAACAGGTCTCCGAATGGGTGCAGAGGGTGGGCATGACCCGAGACGCAGAGGTGTGGGTGAGGCCCCAGGACAAGAAGAAACAGGGCAGAGGTGGGAGGAGGCCAACATGAGGTGTGGCACGTGGTCTTCGGTCCCGTGCATGGTGGTGCAGGGGCCGACGGGAGGTCCGTGACCTCATGGGGTGGCCTCAGGGTCATGCAGGCCAGCAGGGCCTTTGGGTTTCATCCTGAGTGTGATGGGGAGCTCTGTTGAGGGTTTTAGTTGCAGAGTGAAGGCTGTTTTTTTTTTTTTTTTTTTTTTTTTTTGTGGAGATTTTTCTTATAGGGCAGAGACAGAGACAGAGAGACAGAAAACGAGAAATCACCCCATGGGGGGATGGCCATGCCATGCCGTAGTCCCTTCTCCAGTTACCTTGGGGTTTTTGGGCACGTACACACACACACCCGGTGTGTGTGCACCAGCGTGAGTTTTAAGCCACTGGGTCTGGGACTCGAACCGCAATTGACTGTGGGAGTCCTGTGATGTAACCATTAGGCCATCTGCTGGTCCTACATCTGATTTATTTTCAGAAAGACAGCCCGATTGCTGCAGGGGTTTGTGGGAGTGACGGGGCTCCGGCCAGGTGCAGGGGAGGGTGTGATCTGTGGAGGGGACAGGACTTGGTAAATGGCTCCAGCAGGAGCAGGTCTGCCCGCAGGTGCCCTCGGCACCTCATGTTCCACAGTGTTGAGGAGGTACTGGAGGGGCGTCGATAGCGACGTGAGGGCTCACGTCACAGCGACATCTGAGACGCCTCTGGGCGCTGGTTACCAGCCACCCCGTGGGGCGGCCGCCCCTAGTCCACCTGCCTGGGCCCCGGGGGTGCGTCTTGCCGAGTGCCGTGGCCCACGCTCTTGCAGGCCGAGGACGAGGAGGGGTACCGCAAGCTCATCGACCAGAAGAAGGACAAGCGCCTGGCCTACCTCCTGCAGCAGACGGACGAGTACGTGGCCAACCTCACGGAGCTGGTGCGGCAGCACAAGGCCGCCCAGGTCGCCAAGGAGAAGAAGAAGAAGAAGAAGAAGAAGGTGCGCTGGGCCCCGGCCGGGCGCCCGCCTCTCCATGACCGCTGCCGGGTCAGGGCGTGACTGTGTCTCTTTTCACTTCCAGAAGGCAGAAAATGCAGAGGGCCAGACGCCTGCGATCGGACCGGACGGCGAGGTGAGGAGGCAGGGACTTGCCACAGAGATGCCGCGTGGCCAGGGTTCCGGCCCATTTGTCCTTTGCAAGATGGCTATTATTACGGTTTTTTTTTTTTGCTCTAGGGGGTATGCGCTTACTAGAGACGGGAGAGGGCTCTGGGAGGAGTGAGAGATCACCCCTGGGGGATGGCCATGCTGCCATGCGTTCTGTGTCCTCCTGTCGGGACGTCGGGGGCAAACACACGTGCGCCCGGTGTGGTCGTCACGCTGCCAGTTCTGGACTCAAAGCGTGGAGCTGGTCCTGCGGGATCCACCGCCTCACCCTCTGCGCCCCCTGCTGGCCCATTACTGTAATTCCTCAGAGGAGGGCAGAGAGGCAGAAACACCCCCAGTGGGCCCTGTCACTCCACCATCCCTTTCCCCTTAGTCCTCATTCCTGTCGGTTCTGGTGTGTGTGCACATGGCCTGGTGTATTTTTTTCAAGTTGCCAAATCGAGATTCAAACCATGATTGACTACTCGGATCCAGCTTCCTTTAACTGGACCTTTTTTTTTTTTTAATTATTTTATTTTACTTTATTTAAATTTGATGGGGTTGGGGAAGTAAGAGAGTGAGCTGCCAGGTCAGGGACTCGAACCATGGTCAGCCATGTGAGAGTCCAGCCTTCTTAACTACCATGCCATCTGCACCCCCCTCCCTTTTTAATGTTTTGTTTTTATCCTTCTCCTTAAAAATTGGCTAGAGTGTGCATGCACTCGTGTGAGACAGAGACAGAGAGTGAGAAAGCACGCGCCCCGCCCCACACACACACCTGGGTATGGTCGCCCTGCCGTTCCTTTCCTCGTTTCTCCGTTGGGATTTTGGAAACACAGCTGTGTGCATACACTCTGTTTCTACCTGCCAGGTACAGGATTTGAACTGTCTTGTCAGTCACGTGGGATCCGGCTGCCTTAGCCACTCTGCCACCAACTGGCAGTTCTATTTTAGTTATTTTTTTTGGTTTTGTCTTTTTTTTAAAAAATTAATTATTATTACTTTTTTATTTCTTTGTGGGGAGAGGTTTTTGCTGTAGGGCGCGTGCGCTCACCTGAACGACACAGAGAGACAAAGCAAGAAATCACCCCCGGGGGGGATGGCTGCACCCCAGTTCCTTCTCCTCCGTTCTCCTCCAGGCATTTCGGACACACAGGCACACGTACCCAGTGTGATTTTCAGGTGGCCAGGTCTGAGACACGGACTGCAGAGCTGGCCGTGTGGGATCCAGCTGCCTTAACCGCCGTGCCTCTGGTGGCTTTTGAAAAACGTTTCCCTGGTGCCAGCAGGTGGCATGGTAGTTAAGGCACTGGACTCCCACGTGACCAACAGCGATTCGAGTCCCAGACCTGGCAGCTTGCTTCCTCACCTTCGCTCTCTGTCTCTACTGAGTGCTCAAGGCCCATAGCAAATGAAAAAAAAAAAAAAGTTTTCCCCATAACGGGGTTTCTCTGTTACCCACCCAGGCTGGCCCCCAGCTCCTTCTACTACCTCCTCAGCTTCCCCGAGTAAGCGGGGTGACGGGCGTGCACCCCGACAGCCACATGTAGGTTGACTGAGCAGTCCACCCTGGCTCCCCGTGGTCCCAGCCTGCGGCATGTAGTGTCCTTGCCAGGGCCACCATCTGGCTGGGCCACGCTTTCTTACAAGGGCGCCCATGTGTGGGGCCACCTTCACGACCTGAGACCTTGAGCACTGCCCAGAGGCCCCCTTTCAGGAGCATCACCTCGGGGTGAGGGCTCCCGTGTGCACGTCTGGAGGAGGCCGCGTGCACACGTCTGCCTGGCCGCCCGATTTGCAGACCTCAACCACTGACAGTAAGCTAAGTGCTTGTTTATTTCAAGTGGCTTCATGTATTTATTTATTTCTTTTTCTCTTTTTTTGGAGAGTTTTTTTTTGCTATAGGGTGCATGCGCTTGCCAGAAAGACAGAGACAGAGAGACAGAAAGCGAGAAACCATCCCCCAGGGGGGATGGTCACGCCGCAATCCCTTCTCCTCCGTTCTCCTCTGGGGATCTTGGGCACGCACGCACGCACGCACACGCGCTCGGCGTGAGTTTAAGCCACCAGGTCCAGGATTCGAACTGCAGTTGACTACATGGGAGTCCAGTAACATAGCCATTACGCCAACTGCTCAAGTGGTTTTATTTAACAAGTTTATCGTTGAGAACAGAGGCTGGTGTTTACTACAGCATGGAGCCTTCTCACCATGGCTCATGAGTGACTCAGGGAACAATCCATGGAGCAGGATCGTCGGGGGTGGGGGAATTCTTTTTTTTTTTTTTTTTAAGAATTTTAAATTTTAGTTGCTATTACTATTTATTATTTTAATTTGACCAGGCAGAGACAGAGAACGAGAAAGAGAAAGTGAGACAGCAAGCCTCTAGGTCTGGGACTCGAACCGCTGACAGCCATGTGGACATCCAGAACCCTACCCACCAGGCCAGTGGGCCGGGGAATTCTATCTGGCTGTTACTGTGGTGTCTCTTTCTGTTTCAAAGCGGATGATGTTGCCCCATGCTGCTCGTGAATTTTTCTTGTTTTCAGCTTTGGCTGTACTATTGAAAACCCTGGGGTGCATTTGAAAGATAGGGGTGAGGGCCAGCTCCATGGTGCATCCGTAATTCGGCTTTCAAGAGAAGCCAGGTCACGGGACCAGCAGTTGCTGTAATGGTTATGTTGCTGGACTCCCATGTAGTCAACTGTGGTTCGAGTCCCGGACCTGGCAGATTAAAACTCACACTGGGTGCGTGTACTTGCGTGCCCAAAATTTCAGAGGAGAATGGAAGAGAAGGGACTGCAGTGTGGCCCCCACCCCCTTGGGGGTGCTTTTTCGTTTTTGTTTCTCTCTGTTTCTGTCTCTCTGGCAAGTGCATGTGTCTTATAGCAAAAATCTGAAAAAGAAAAAAAAGGGGGCCGGCGGGTGGTGTGGTAGTTAAAGGTGCTGGATTCCCACACGGCCAACTGCGGTTCGAGTCCTGGACCCAGTGGCTTGCTTTCTCACTCTCCCTTTCTCTCTCTGTTCAAATTAAAAAAATAATAGTAACAAATGGAATTAAATAAATAAACCTTTAAAAGAGAAGGAGCCAGACAGCACACGGTGAGCACGGTTCAGATGGTCAGTTCAGGCAGACGGAACCACTCTGGGCATGTGCACGAGAGCTCAGGGCCTGAGGCTGGGGGCCGTGGGTGACCGGATCCTGGGGCTCATGCTCACCTCTCCCTTTTTATCGCGTGGGTGCACGGGTGGTCCTCACGTCACCCTTGGTCAATTCAGGCAGTACTGGGGGCAGGGAGAGTGGCAGACGCCAGCACCTCAGACTGCTCCCGTGACCCCGGAGCATGTGGTGTTCTGTGCGTGACTGCTGCAGTCCATAGAGCCGCTCGGCGGGCCAGGGGCTGCGGTCACCCTCCGGGGAGGCCACTCCAAGGGAAGCATTCTTTTTTTTTGGAGAAGTTTTTGCTATAGGGCACGTGCACTCACCAGAAACAGAAAGCAAGAAATCACCCCCCAGGGGGGTGGCCACGCTGCAATCCCTTCTCCATCCTCCTCTCGGGATCTTGGGCACGCACGCACACGCGCCCAGCGTGAGTTTAAGGCACCTGGTCCAGAACTCGAACTGCGGTTGACTGCATGGGAGTCCAGTGACTTAGCCATTAACACTAATTGCTGGTCCTTTGCCACCTTACTTTTTTAAAAGAGAGTTTTTTGTTTGTTTGTTTTTTGTTTTTTGCTGTAGGGTATGTATGCTTATCAGAGAGATGGAAAGTAATCACCCCCCCCCAGCGTGAGTTTAAGGCACCTGGTCCAGAACTCGAACTGCGGTTGACTGCATGGGAGTCCAGTGACTTAGCCATTAACACTAATTGCTGGTCCTTTGCCACCTTACTTTTTTAAAAGAGAGTTTTTTGTTTGTTTGTTTTTTGTTTTTTGCTGTAGGGTATGTATGCTTATCAGAGAGATGGAAAGTAATCACCCCCCGGGGGTAATGACCATGCCACAATCCCTTCTCCGGTCTCCACTTGGGATTTTGGGCATGCACATACACACACAGCATGAGGT